TGCATATCTCCTACTGGGGATGTGCCCACAACCCAGGTACATGCCCAAAACCGATATTGAGCCTGGGACCCTTCAGTCTGCAGGCCGACGATCTATCAACTGAGCAAAACCAGTTAGGGCTCTAATTCCCTTTTAATGTGCACAAGTTTCATGCACCGGGCCACTAGTGTGTGTGTGTGTGTGTGTGTGTGTGTGGCCACTAGTGTGTGTGTGTGTGTGTGTGTGTGTGTGTGTGTGTGTGTGTGTGTGTGTATATGCCTAATATGCTAGCTGTCCCTCTGACTGTTTGACCATTCGACCAATTGCCAATCATGACCATTCGACCAATCGCCAATCATTATGATGTGCACTGACCAACAGGGGACAAATGTTCCAACTGGTAGATTAGCTTGCTGCTGGGGTTCAACCAATTGGGACTGGGTGAGATGGGCTGGACACACCCTGAAGCCCTCCCTCGGTTCCTCCCTTGCCCCAGTTGTGCATTGGTGGGGTCTCTCAGACTGGCCTGTGCTCTCTCACAATCTGGGAACCCTTTGGGGAAGTTGGATAGCCGGGACCCCATTTGTGCACCAAGCCTCTTGCAAATTGTTCGACTGGGAGTTTGACCAGGAGTTCGATCGCTTACTATAACATGCGCTGACCACCAGGGGGTGATGCAGAACATGGCAGGGTTGCAGCTGCTGGGACTGCAGGGGATAGTTGGGATCCCTGTGGGTTCGGCCTGTGAGGCCAGCCAGGAGAGAATGTGCTGCCCTCCCAGCTTCAGTGCGGTGCCTCTGGGTGGCCCAGAGGCCCACGTGCCCTGGCCTATGGCATCTGGCTGTGCTCGCCGCATCTCCCTGTGGGGACTCAGGTGCCATGACTCAAGTGGATGGGGGCATGTGGGGGCCCGAGGGCCCAGGTGCTGCTCAGGACCCAGAGGTCAGCTGGGACCTGCCCTTCCATGCCAGATGCTCACGCTTTGATCACCGGCCAGGCCTAGGGACTGCACCCATGCACAAATATCACCCACCAGACCTCTATAAAGAAAGCCAGAAGCCTAAGGAAAGCTAAAGTACTCTAAAGAACAAATTGGATGAATATGTCAGTAAAAGGCATTATACATTAAGTATAAAGCCGTGGCAATTATGTTAGTGTGGTATAAATACTGGACAGCTAGGAACTAATTCATTCATAGATGGCAACTTAATCTATGTCAGCATTATAAATTTTTAGGGAGGATGAACTTTTCAATGAACAGTGCTGTGATAACTGATTATCCATATCAGAAAAAAAGGAATGGAATTAACTTTTATCTCCCATCGTATTAAAAATTGAGTATACCATTAAAAATATCTTTAAATCACTTATATCAATAATAATGTAATGCCATTATATAATGATTTATTGATAAATGGAGAAGGCAAAATTTCCAGAGGAAAGAAAACATTACATGAGTAGATAGTTGATTTCTCTAAGGTTGGTTTCAAGTTAAAGATCATCCTATTAGGGAACTGGAAGGAAGGACAATGCCTCATGCATTGTTATTTAGGTATTTAGATATTTAGGTAGGGAACCCAACAGGAAAAAACAGAACCATAGCAACTCAGACCCATGAAAAGAGTGGGGGGAGTGTTAACCATGGTGGGGGCCTCAAGTATTTGAACGATGAACAATTTGGGCTCAGATAGCAATACTGTTCTCTATGAGGCTGGGCTTCAGGTATTCGTAGGGAAGGTCTAGCTGCTCATTCCGGGCCACGATTTCCTTTTCCAGGTTGTCCAGATCAGCCTGAAACTGCCTTAAAACAGCCTTGGGCTCAGGGCCTGAGAAATACTCTTCTTGGTGATGCCCCAGTGGTACCTGGAGCAGAAAGAAAGGATCAATCATCTTCTAGTTCTAAGAAAAAGGAACTCAAACTCCAGTCCCTCACCCTAAAGTCTCCTTGTCAGCCATCAGTCCCCTCAGAGTGCCAGAGGTCCCCTCTCACCATGTCTGGCGGGGGCTGGCTAATGAGCGACGTGGCAATCACTTGAAGACTGGTCTGCCAGAAACTAGGCAGTGAGCCCATCACTGTGTCCATTGTGACATCTTCCTTGTTGGTGGGTGGGGGCATCCGCATTGAGCCTGGGGCATTAGGGATCCAGGCATACCAGTCGAACTGGGGGAGGAAGAATCTGGAGTCACTCAGGAACTCTGATTCAGGACCCTAGACCCCAGCTCTCTCCCTCAAGTGTCCCCTAGCCCAGAAGCTTTCTCTCAGAGACCCAGATTTTCAGTTGTCCTGACCTGGCCCATGTTCACTGCTGCATGCTGGGCAGAGCATGTGAAGATGCACATGGTAAGGAAATGACAGAGCTGAGCCCGAGACTGGAAGGAGACAGGGAAACCTAGAGAAAAGAACAAAGCTTAGAAAGTGCAGTTCCAAAGGAGATAAGGAAGTAAATGCTGATATCTTGGCATGTCCATATATTAGAATTAGTGAGTGTTCATTCACTTATTCATTTATTCAAAAAGTCATGAACTACTATGTACCAGACACTATACAGGCACTGGAAATATGGTGGTGGACTAAATAGACTGTAGTAGTGAAGAATGATAATAAACAGAATAACTAAGTAAAATTACACACAGTATATGAGATAGTGATAAGAATATAACTAAGTCAGGGAAAGGAGATATGAGATGTAAAGGGGGTCGTTAATAATTTAGTTAAGAGACCAGTCCTTGCTTTGTGCTGACTAACTGCATTACCTTGGACTAACTGCTTAGCGTCTCTGAGTTGCTATCCTATCTAATAAAAGAGAAACATGGTAATTGGCGTACGACCGCTACCCTTCCCATTGGCTAATCAGGGCAATATGCAAATTAACTGCCAGCCAAGATGGCGGCCGGCAGCCAGGCAGCTTGAAACTAACATGA